CCAGAAAAGAGAGAGCAATAGAAGGGGCTCCCAGTTTATGAGTATAAACTCGGCCTGACATCTGGCTGACCCCTGCACTATGTGTGCTCAGGGCAGAATCTAAGTGGCCTAAAGGCTAAAAGAACAGAACACAATATTCAGCTGCTGCCCAACATAAAGGAAACAGAGTTTGGAGTTTGAGTTCTGCTAAGTTAACTGTCTACTAAAACAAAGTCAATATTCTTGAGAAGAAAATAAGAGAGTTCAGAGTCTCTACAATGTATCATTCACCATGTCCATTACACAATCCCAAATTACAAGACAAGTGAAGAAACAAAAAAATGTGACCAATATTCAAAGGAAAAGATAATTAATAGAGACTAACCTGAGGATGCCTTGTAATTAGCAGGCAAGGATTTTAAGGCAGATACTATAACTATACTCAAAAACGTAAAAAAAAATATAATTTTAATGAATTAACATATAGAAAATTTAGGCAAACAAATGGAAACTAAAAAAAGAAAAATTGAAATTCTAGAACTAGATGTTAAGATATCTGATATGGGAGATTGACTAGATAGGCCTAACTACAGATTGAAAATAATAGAAGAAAGAATTAGTACCTTTTAAGATAGATTGATAGAAATTATTCAATCTGAAAAACAAAACAAAACAAATAAACAAACAAAACAGAAGAAAACCTGGGGAAAAAATGAGCAAAGCCCCAGTGACTTGTTGAACAATATCAAGAAGTCTAACAGTATGTGTAATTGAAGTCCCATGGGGGGTTGGGGGGAGGGAGAGAGAGAGAGAGAGAGAGAGAGTGAGTGAGTGTGTGTGTGTGTGTGAGAGAGAGAGAGAGAGAGAGAGAGAGACTCCAAAATTTGAAGAATCAACGGCCAAAGTGTTTTCAAATTCAGTAAACATCCAAGATACTTGGCAAACCACACCTAGGCATGTCATAATCAAACTACTGAAATCTAAAATTAAAGGGAAATTCTTTAGAGCAGCCAGAGAAAACCAGCACATTATAAACAGGGCAACGGTGACACATAATGACAATAGACTTTTACCAGAAGCCAGAAGGCAATTGAATGGCATAAAGTGCTGAAAGGGAAAAAACTCAAACACCAGAGTTTTAATCTAATACATACCTAGCAAAAGTATCTAGAGTTTTACATCTCCATAGAAAAATGCCCTTTAATGATTAAAAAGTACAAATTGGCAGTTACAAAATAGTCATGGGGCATAGGAAATATAATAAACTAGAGGCCTGGTGCACAAAATTAGCACATGGGTAGGGTCCCTAGGCCTGGCCGGTGATCAGGGCCGATTGAGGCCTTGCTTTCCCTGGCTGCCAGCTGCTGGCTGGGGCCTTCCTTCGTTCTGTGCCACCCCCTGGTGGTCAGCGCACATCGTAGCAAGTGGTCAAACTCCCAGTCAGTGGAACTCCCAAGGGGACAATTTGCATATTAGCCTTTTATTATATAGGATAATATGTATGGTGCCAGGTAGGTGCTAGACTTAACTGGGGTGATCATAAGTTATGTAAATGTATAATCACTATGTTGTACACATAAAACAAATATAATATTGTAATTTAAAAATTTTTAATGTTTTACAGAAAAGAAAAATACCCTAAAAAACAAACATACATATGTATCTGTTAGAATTTAGGATTAATTTTCAGGTGATGTCTGTGATTACCCAAAAGAGAGAATAGCCAGGCCCCTGGAAACCCCAGGAGCTCCGCATCTTCTTCACACAGAAGCTTAACTCATTGTGCTGCAGACTCTGCTACAGAACTAGCCCTGCTTCACCTTCTCCCACCCCCAATAGCTAATGTAAATTCCTTCAGAATGACTTGGTGCATAAAAGTGCTTGCAGAACTCTTGGATGTTGGACATGTATTTTCTTTTCTTTCTTTTTTAAAAATATATTTTATTGATTTTCCGCAGAGAAGAAGGGATAAGGATAGAGTCAGAAACATCCGTGAGAGAGAAACATCGATCAGCTGCCTCCTGCACACCCCCTACTGGGGATGTGCTCACAACCAAGGTACATGCCCTTGACCGGAATTTAACCTGGGACCCTTGAGTCCACAGGCCGACACTCTATCCACTGAGCCAAACCGGTCAGGGCTGGACATGTATTTTCTACCCAGCCAAACTGCTGGTGGTTTAGACTCCATGACCCAGGACCAGTGTTCTTTTTTATTTTTATTTTTTTCTAGCAATGACCTAACCCTTACTTTTAAAAAGACTTTCTGTCCAGCAAGTTAAATTTTTTTGTTTAACAGTAGAGAGGTAGGGAGAGAAGAAAGGAAAGAAAGGCAGCCAATGCAAGTGTTATATTAAGCTCTGTAAAAAAGTGGGCACTCCACTGTAAAGGCCTGAGAGGATATTTCTAAAGATCATAGTAATTAAAAGGACAGGCTTTGGAGCCTGGCAGATATGGGTTGAATCTTACTGGCTATTTATCTGTAAAATAGGAATAATATTATCACTTAATGAGAATAAAATACCAGTCTATGTAAATCCCTTAGCTAGTATTTGACACATTTTAAGTGCTCAATAAGTACTATTATTTTATCATTTAATTTCATGACAACTCTGTGAGATGCATATAAATGATAATTTCTTTAAAAATATCTCCATGCCCTGACCGGTTTGGCTCAGTGGATAGAGCATCGGCCTGCGGACCAAAGGGACCCGGGTTCGATTCCAGTCAAGGGCATGTGCCTTGGTTGCGGGCACATCCCCAGTAGGGGGTGTGCAGGAGGCAGCTGATCGATGTTTCTCTCTCATTGATATTTCTAACTCTCTATCTCTCTCCCTTCCTCTCTGTAAAAAATCAATAAAATATATTTTTTAATAAAAAAAATATCTCCAGTAATTAAAATGATTAACATGTAAGTTATGTTTGATTGACTATGATGTTAACTATGTTATTATGGTTTACAGTATTTAGTACAGTGTCTTTGTAAATACTTGAAATACTAAACGCTTACATAGTATATATTCATTAATAATTCATTTATAGACACAGATTTTCACATTGATGGGGGTGAGCTGTACTGAAATTATATTCCTTTGTATTTGGAACCTCCTGTTTGTGTAATCACATAGATATTTTACTAGTGACAAATGTCAGGTGTTATCTCTCTCAATCCCAAGGTTTGGAAAGGGGATTTCGGTGAGTCATCGTCTTATGTCTTGTGGTGATATGTGACTTTTCATCTGCCTACTGCCTCCAAGCCGAGCTTCCTGAAATACAGCTGCAGTTCCCTAAATGCTGACTGACTGCAGTAGCTTTGTTACTGATGTAGATGCTGTCACCCAAATTCCTGAAATTACCCTTGATAGGCATCATAGGGCCTCCTGGCAAACAGGAGAGTATTTTGTTACAGAGATGTCAGGGACTTTAGTAAGTTACCTTTAATTATGGAAAACAAAAAGGCTCATAACAGAATTAATTATAAAAATGGATTATCCTTTTATTTTCAGTAATTAAGAGAAATAAAAATTTAAATATAGAAATTTTAGCCTCACATTTTAAAAAACATTGTTCAGATCATAAAACTGAGACTGAAAGACCCAATTTACTTTTTAAAAAATATTTTATTGGTGTTTTACAGAGAGGAAGGGGGAGGGATAGAGAGTTAGAAACATTGATGAGAGAGAAACATCGATCAGCTGCCTCCTGCACACTCCCCACTGGGGATGTGCCTGCAACCAAGGTACATGCCCTTGACCGGAATCAAACCTGGGACCCTTCAGTCCGCAGGCCAACGCTCCATCCACTGAGCCAAACCAGTTAGGGCCCCAATTTACTTTTAAAAAATGTATTACTTAAGAGAATGTTGAATATATTTTTTAATAGTTTTATTTTTATTAAATGCATGAGAAATATATCAACTTCAATAAAAGAAAAAATCAATTTGTATGTGTATTATAAACAGTATGAGAATTTGGGAGATTTAAAAAAATGAATTGTACTCTCAATAATAAAGATATTTTTTTAAAAAATAATGAATTGATTAAAATATTGCCTTACAAGAGATCAAGATGGCAGTGAAATAGGTAAAAGCTACACTCACCTCCTCCCAAGACCAAACTGGAATTACAACCAAATTATAGAATAATCATCCTGAGTAACCAACTGAAGACTAGCTGAAGAGAGGTCTTATAGCCAAGGATTTACAGAAGAAGCTACATCAAGACTGGTAGGAAGAACAGAGTCATAAAAAGGGCTCGCCCTGCTCTTTTTTTTTTGTTTTTAATCTGAACAATAAAGACTTAATTTAAAAAATAAAATAAAATAAAATGTACAATTCAGTGATTTTTATTATATTCAGAGTTGTACAATCTAACAATTACCACTATCTAATTTTAGGATCTTTCCTTTTTCTTTCTTTCTTTTTAAAAAGACATGCTCAAGAGGCAGAGCAGCCTCGAACAGACTGTCAAACTACAGCGGGAAGGCTGGGGAGGGTTGGAGGGCAGGAGGGGGGTGGGTAAGAGATCAACCAAAGGACTTGTATGCATGCATACGAGCATAACCAACGGACATAAGACACTGGGGGTTAGAGGAGGCCAGGAGATTGTCAAGGGCAGCTAAAAAAAAAGGAGACATATGTAATACTCTTAGTAATACTTTAAGCAATAAAATAATTAAAAAAAAAAAAGAAAGACATGCTCAGCCCTAGCTGGCTTGGCTCAGTGGATAGAGCCTGGACCTGTGGATGGAAAGGCCTAAGACCATCGGAAAACACATACATAATGACATATTGTTTTTGTGATTCATCACTATGCTTTAATTATGTTCAATTGGTAACAATGAAATTGAGGGTCACCACAACATGAGGAACTGTATGAAAGGGTCACAGCATTAGGAAGGTTGAGCCCCACTGGTCTAAGGTTTATTTCTACCTCAATTGCTGGCTCCTACCCAGCCTGGCCCTGGTCCGGGCTTGGGCAGGAGGCAACCAACTGATGTGTTTCTCTCACATGGATTATTTCTGTCTTTCCCTCTCTCCCCCGCTCTCTCTAAACATCAATGGGGAAATATCCTCGGGTGAGGATTAAAAAATCAAACAAAGGTGGGTAACCTGGTCAGAAGGTCAAATCTTCAAAGTGCATGCAAGCTGCTTCTCCCAGGGGGTCCGGACTAAATGTTCTAGTAGAGCATCTCCAGGAAAGCCTGTGGGGATGGTGCCTCCACATTCTGGAAGGTGTTCTGGACTCTGCCGTACAGGATGAAGTATTTCAGCTCCAGACAGATGAACCCGAAGTGGTCCTCATCAAACAGGATGAAGACTCCAGGGTAGTGCATGCAGTAGGGGAAGCCATGGCGGGTAACAATAACAGTGTCCACGCCAGCACAGAGACACATCCTGCAGCTTCGGGGGTAGTTCTGGTCCATTGAGCGCACGCCCACAGGCAGAACAAACGGGACAGGCTGCTCCTCCGAAGCTGCAGCCCCGGACTCCCCAACGCTGGGCTGGGCAGGGCTCTGCCAGCCATGGCCCTCGCTTTCCTCAGTCCCGTTTTTTTGCTGCTGCTGCTGCTCCCGGATCACCTGCTCGTCAATCTCCTGGACCACGCGGGAGAGCTCATTGAAGTTGCGGAAGATCTCGCCATCTCGCAGCTGGATGCGGCGCTTGAGGTGGATGTCTAATATCTCGTTGGAGTATCCCGTGATCTTGGTGACCCTGGCATACTTCCCATGGAAGCTGAGCATGACAATCGATAGGCCGAAGGGATCGTATTTGCCTTGGAAGAGGCCTGGCCTGATGAGGTCGTCCGGGTGGCTCGGCGGGAGGTAGAGGCGGTGGTAGACCAGGAAGTCAAACCCCTGTGTGTCCTCCTGCGACAGCACCAGCCCCCGTCCTCCCCTAAGCCGCGTTGGTGAATCTGTTAGGTGGTCTGTCTTGTCGCACTGGGTGGTGAACCTGTCCTTCCGAATCTGCATGTGGCGGTGGTGGGGCCTGCTGATGTGGCCCTCCATGCACTCCACCGCGGCTGATTTCCTCTCCGTCAGGCGAATTCTGAACGCGGGCTCGAATTGCAGCGGGTCATCCAGATGGGGGTGAAGGGAAGGCCCGTACATCCAACCAGTAATGCCTAAGCCGTCCACCACGACATTCAGCAGTCTTCTATAGTCATGACCTAGCTGCCACAATCCCAAAATGTGTCTGTACGGGTGGAACAGCTTCGCATAGACTTCTCGATAAGACATACCGATTGTCTCCAGGTTCTGCAAGTTTTCACCAACGCCAAACTCCTCCCTGCAGCGCCGTCTCCAGATGCTGTCGATGTGCAGGATGTGGTGGAATCTGGTGCAGGCCTGGGCCAGGCTGAGCAGATCGGTGCCGGGGAGCCAGGCGAAGATCTCCACCAGCATCTCCACCGGCAGGTCCTGCAGCGAGCAGTGCGTGGGGCGGCATGGGGCTCCCGATTCCTCCACTCCCTGCACAGCACCGCGCTGCCGCCTCCGCCTCCGCCTCCGCCTCCGCCTCGAGGTGCTTTTCTGCTGGTGCCGAGCCGGCTTGCCCTCAGCCGCTGCCGTCTCAGCTGGGCCTTGGCGCTGCTGACGACATCGACGTCCCCGCGAAGAGCCCAAGCTGCAGATGCAAGCGCACTCCTCCATGCCTCCACGTGTAACAGCCACCACAGTGTGGGCTCCTGCTCCTCAGCCGGGCTTTAAGCTGAGTCCAGCCACGCCCCCTCAGAGAGGAGCCAATTGTAGGACTTTATTTTTTTTAATTGTTTTATTGCTTAAAGTATTACAAAGAGTATTACATATGTCTCCTCCCCCCCTCCCCCCCTTGACAATCCCATACGCTTTCCCAGTGCCCTCTCCCTGTCCTCCCGCCCTAGCCCCAGGCAGTCACTAATCTGCTTTCTGTAGGGATATGCCTCCAGGGATATGCCTGGGGGGGCGGGGGGCGGGGAAACGGGACATTTCACATAAATGCAGTCATAATATCTGGTCTTTTGTGGCTGGCTTCTTTCACTTAGCATAACATTTTAAAGTTTTATGTATGCTATATTCTAGTGTATGGGTATACCACATTTTGTTTACCCATTCATCAGTTGATGAGTATTTGCGCTGTTTCCGTCCTCATGAACAACACCGCCAGGAACACTGTGTACAAGTTTTTCTGTGTGAACATGTTTCCATTTCTTTTGGGTATGTACCTAGAAGTGGAACTTCTGGGTCATCTGGTAACTCTATGCTTAGCATGTTGAGGAACTGCCAAAAACGCTCTCCAACGTGGCCCCGCTATTTTACATTTCCACCAGCACTACACGAGGGGTCCAACTTTTAAACATTCTCATGAATGCTTAAAAAAAAAAAATACATGATAGCCATCCTAGCGAGTGTTGAGTGGTACTTCACTATAGTTTAGAGCAGAGTCACTGACTGTAGGTTGACCTGACCCTGAACTCCATAAGGGAAATCCATTCTATGCTCAGCCTCAACCCAGCCTCTGCCAAATCTCCCAGGCCCCTGGTAGGAATGGGCTCCTACATGTGAGCAAGGATGGACTCGAGTTCCTCACTTTCAAGTGACTAACCCTGCTAGCTCCTTGGGTGAATGGATGCCCTCAAAAAAAAGTTCACAGGATCTGCCCACTGTGAACATAACTCTCCTATGGGCTGAGACTGGCCCCGCTTATTCAGACAGGCCTCCATTCTCATGTTGAGAGCAGCTAGATTTCTTCTTTCCACTTTTCTGGATTCCTACCAGAGAAACACTCTGACCTTTGGAAGGTCCTCCCAGTGCCCTGGGAGGAATTTGATTTGCCTTTTGTCAGGAATAGACATTCAGGGCAGTTTATTTGATAGAGGGGTGCAAATTCCATCTGCCACAGACACTGACCTCGATCATTTAAAGACTAAAACTTCTCAATCCCTCCCCTGAAGAATAGCCCCATATTACTATTGGTATGCAACTGGGTAATGGGTGCAAAGACTCTTCTTTCAGGATCCTGCACTGATGGGACTTTGAGGGACGGTCTCCAAGGGTACATGTGTGTCTGGTGGGTCAAGGAGACTTGCCCTGCTTTCATGGGCAGTGGCTGAAGTTCTGGAGCAATATTTCAGTTAAAGGGGTTCCCCCTGAGAAGCATGGTGTCTAGACCCCAAGCCAGGCTCCCAGTCCAGAGCACCAGGGCCAGGAAAAGGTGCCCACATAACATCTGGCTATGAAAATTAGTGGTTCTGTTCATCAGGGAGAGATGAGGGTCCACTAGAGACCAGGTGCCCTCTTAAAAGGCTGACACACAAAATTTCATTCACAGCCACTCACCCTGGGCTCCTTCAAAGGAGGAGTGGAGCAGATTAGAGTTGCATGAGGAGAGTCTGGGGTTTATGTTTCTGGCAAGAGAGCTGAAGGGACAGGCACCACGATCCCTGTGCTGAATCATTTTTCTATACCTCAGACACCATCTTTCTTGGGTGGAACACTCCCCTATGTGTAGTATCAGCCTGGGAGCCACAACACCATCTTCCTGGAAGCCTGACCAGCACCTCCCCCTTACGGGACAACCACTTGCCCCAACCTGGTGACTCACTATGAATCTACCTCAAGCATTATGAGTACTGCCAGAGGCTCTTTCAGTGACGGAGCCTAAGAGCAGCCAGTAGGTGAAGGCCAGCAGAGGCAGATCTCTGAGTGCCTTGAGACTTTTAATGACCTGCCCCGAGCCTGGTGCTGGTAAAAGCCAGTCTTGGTATGTAGCTTCATCCTTCTGTCCTTCACACACTCAGACCCTGAAGAAGTAGCCACAAACTCTGGATCATTTGTAGCCACAAACAGGTTGCCCAGGGCCAGTCACGGACAGCATCTTACATTTTCCTGCACCAGATTCCTTCCCAAGAGACCCAGAACCAACACACCCAGGGGCCAGCATCAGATAACATCAGAGCAGGATCTAATTAGCTTTACAAGCAAGATATCTAAAGGATGATATCAGCAGGCACCAAACATAGCTGAGGTAAATTCTGCTTCAGGTGGTCAGCACCTGCACAGAAGCTCTCATGTGATGGTCAGGGTTGAGCCTGAGTCAGCCAACCTGAGGGTCAATCCACACATGAAGAGGCCAATAGCAATCAAGACTCAATAACAACAAGATGGTCCATATGACCCACCAAGGGACATTCCTGGAGTACCCAACTCAGGTGATCAAGGAGACTACACTATTGGACCCCCAAGGACACCTACTACACAAGGCCACCACACAAAGACTAGGATCCAAAATAGGGAGACAAAGAATCAGGACCCAAATGAAATAACAAGAGAAATATACAGAAAAAGAGCTAAATGAAATGGAAGCAAGCAATTTATCAGATAAAGAGTGCAACATAATGGTTAAAAGGATGCTCAACAGCATGAGAAAGGACATAGAAACCATAAAAAAAAAACCAATCAGAAATGAATAATACAATATCTGAAATAAAAAATACACTGGGAAGAATACAGGTTTGATGAAGCAGAGGGTCAAATCAGTGATTTGGAAAACAATGTAGAAAAAACACCCAATCAGAGCAGCAAAAAGAAAAAAATGATTAAATAGAATGAGGATAGTCAAAGGGACTTTTTGGACAACATGAAGCATAACAACATTCGCATTATAGGAGTACCAGTGGGAGAAGAGAGAGAGCAAGGGATTGAGAACCTATTTGAAGAAGTAATGACCGAAAACTTCCCTAATCTGGTGAAGGAAATAGACATACAAGTCCAAGAAGTGCAGAGAGTTCCAAACAAAATGAACCCAAAGAGGTCCCCACCAAGACACATCATAATTAAAATGCCAAAGATTAAAGACAAAGAAAATCTTAAAAGCAGTAAGAGAAAAGCAAGTGAGCTCCCATAAGACAGTCAGTTGATTTCTTAACAGAAACATTTCGGGCCAGAATGGAATGGTATGAAATAATTAAAGTGATGAAAAGCAAGGACCTGTAACTAAGACTACTTTACCCAGCAATGCTGTTATTTAAAGTTGAAGCAGAAATAAAGAGCTTCCCAGACAAGAACAAGTTAAAGGAGTTTGTTTCCAACAAACCAATATTACAAGAAATGCTAAAGTGCCTACTTGAAGAAGAAGAAGAAGAAGGGGAGGAGGAGGAGACAGAAGAACAAAGTTTAAAGAATAAATTGGCAATAAATCTGTACCTACCAATAATCAATTTAAATGTAAACAGCTTAATGCTCCAATCAAAAGACATAGGGTAACTGAATGGATAAGAAACAAGACCCATATATATGCTGTCTATAACAAACCCACCTCAGAATGAAAGATATACACAGACTAAAAGTAAAGGAATGGAGAACAATATTTCATGCAAATGGAAATTTTAAAAAGCTGGAATAGTAATACTTATATCTGACAAAATAGACTTTAAAACAATGGCTATAATAAGAGACAAAGAAAAGCACTACATAATAATAAAGGGAACAATCCAACAACAGAATATAACCCTAGTAAACATTTATGCACCCAATATAAAAGCATCTAAATATGTAAAGAAAATATTGATGGACAAAAAGGAAGAGATTGACAATAATAAAATCATAGTAGAGGATTTTAACACCCCATTGACATCAATGAATAGATCTTCCAGACAGAAAATCAACAAGAAAACAGAGACCTTAAATTGCATACTGGATATGATGTATCTAACTAATATCTTCAGAGTATTTCTCCCCAAAGCAGCAAGTATATATTCTTTTCAAGTTGCTCATAGATAGTTTTCTAGGATAGACCACATGTTAGGACACAAAACAATTCTCTAAATTTAAGAAGATTGATATCATATCAAGCATCTTTTTTTTTTTATCATAATGGTATGAAACTAGAAATCAGTCCAGTCAAAAAACTGAAAAACACACAAAGACATGGAGGCTAATTAACATGTTACTAATCAAAGAATGGGTTAACAATCAGATCAAGGATGAAATAAAAAGATACTTTGAAACAAATAAAAATGAGAACACAACAACCCAAATTCTATGGGACATAGCAAAACCAGTCTTAAGAGGGAAATTCATAGCATTAATGGCCTATTTCAAGAAACAAGAAGAATCTAAAATAAACAATCTAACTGTACACTTAAAGGAACTTTAAAAAGAATGACAAAATCCAAAGTGAATAGAAGGAAGGAAATAATAAAGATAGAGCAGGAAGAATAAAAAGGAATAGAGTTTAAAAAGACAATACAAAAGATCAAGGAAACTAAGAGCTGGTTCTTTGAAAAGATAAACAAGGTTGACAAATCTTTAACCAGACCCATCAATAAAGAAAGATATGACCCACATAAATAAAATCAGAAATGAAAAAGGAGAAGTAACAACTGACAACACAGATACAAATAATTGTAAGAAAATGTTATGAACAACTATATGCCAACAAATTCAACAATCTAGAAGGAATGGATAAATTCCTAGAAACATACAATCTTCCAAAACTAAATCAGGAAGAATCAGAGAATCTGAGTTGACACTAGTGAATTTGAAGCGGTAATTAAAAAACTCTGACAAACAGAAGTCCTGGACTGACTTCACAGGTGAATTTTACCAATCACTCAACAGCAGAAATAACACCTGTCCTTTTCAAACTATTCCAAAAAATTTAAGAGGAGAAAAAACTCCCAAGTTCATCTTATGAAACAAGCATTATCCTAATTCTAAGACCAGATAACGACACTGAAAAGAACAAAAATTATAAACCAATATCCCTGATGAATATAGATGCTAAAATTCTCAACAAAATATTAGCAAATCAAATCTAGAAATACATTAAACAGATCTTACACCATAATTAAGGGATTTATTCCTGGATTGCAAGGTTGGTACAATATCTACAAATCAATAAATGTGATATACCACACACAAAGTGAAGGATAAAAACCACATAATCAATAGATGCAGAAAAACCATTTGATAAAATCCAGTACTTATCCTATATAATAAAAGTGTCATATGCAAATCGACCGAATGGCAGAAGGACCGGTTGCTATGATGCACACTGACCACCACAGGGCAGATGCTCAATGCAGGAGCTGCCCCCTGGTGGTCAGTGTGCTCCCACAGGGAGAGCGCTGCTCAGCCAGAAGCCAGGCTAAGGGCTGGCAAGCATAGCTGCGGTGGCGGGAGCCTCTCCCGCCTCCCCCGCCTCCCCCGCCTCCATGGCAGCCAGTGCTAAGCCATCAGTCAGACATTCCCTGAGGGCTCCTTGACTGTGAGAGGGTGCAGGCCCGGCTGAGGGACCCCCCACCACTGAGTGTATAAATTTTGTGCACCGGGCCTCTAGTTTATGATAAAAAACGCTCAGCAAAGTGGGACTAGAGGGAACATACCTCAATGTAATAAAGGCCAAATTTGACAAACCAGTAGCCAACATCATACTCTATAGCAGTGGTTCTCAACCTTCTGGCCCTTTAAAGACAGTTCCTCATGTTGTGACCCAACCATAAAATTATTTTCGTTGCTACTTCATAACTGTAATTTTGCTACTGTTATGAATCATAATGTAAATATCTGATATGCAGGATGGTCTTAGGCAACCCCTGTGAAAGGGTTGTTCGACTGCCAAAGGGGTCATGACCCACAGGTTGAGAACCGCTGCTCTGTAGGCAAAAACTACAAGTGTTTCCCTTTTGATCAGGAACAAGACAGTTTGTTCAATTTCACCATTTTCATTCAACACTAGAGGCCCGATGCACGAAATTCATGCAAGGGGGCTTGGTCACCGCCTCTGCCTTGGCCCCTGCCGCTGCGGCTTCGTCTGGAAGGTCGTCTGGAAGGATGTTCGGTATAATTAGCATATTATGCTTTTATTATTATAGATAGTACTGGAAGTCCTAGCCACAGCAATCAGAAAAAAAGCATCCAAATGGGAAAGAAAGAAGTAAAACTGTCATTGTTTGCAGATATAGAGAGAGAGAGAGAGAGAGAGAGAGAGAGAGAGAGAGAAAGAGGAGAGATTGATTTTTAGTTTAGGTACAGTCCTGCCTGACAAAGATTCTTCAAGCCTGTGAAATTATAATTTTATATCACTTCTGATTAAAGGCTGTATGCTTTGGATTCTAGGTGTTTATTTTTAGGCCTCAGGGGTTTGGAGAGAATAAAATGTGCTTTTTTCCCTTGTGAATGGGTTTCCTTATGATTGGTTACTTTGATTTAGAAAAATTATCAGCCTAGAATTAAAAAATGGAGGGTACTCTAATTTCTTGCGTTTTTGGACATACCTCAGAAAACTATCCTCACCCACCCAACCTGACAAATGACTGGCACAGCTTTAGGGATAATCATTGGCTTTTTGTCCTTGTGACCATGAAAACGCAGCATAGAGCACATTACAAATCAGGATGCACCAGCACCACCCAGTGGCCTTGAATGAATTTAGCAGCTCCTTGGAAATATGACCCCGAAGTCCAGCGCCTCTCTGAAAGGTGTATTACATAGGCATGCATGAAAGCACCAGGATTTAACTTTTGCAGAATTGAATCCATTGTAGGTAGTTCTGATCTTACTTTGTTATCCTACTTTCTGGAAAGATCAGACAATTTATAGGACAAGAAAATGGAGTTTGGTGTATGTTAAGGACTTTTGGCTCTTTTTGGCAATGAATATATTTATAAGTAGTGAGCTAACGTCTGTTTTTGAAAGTTAAATAGAAGTTTATGAGAGCTAAGAAGCATCACAAAATGAGTGACACAAATTATCCTCTCCACCAAGAGTATGGAAAGTCTAAGGCCTCCAAGGAAAATTTAGTTCCTGTATAGGCTCAAGACACCTTTCTATACCACTTCCTAGATGACAAAGATTCTCTCCAATAGGGAATGATATTTCTTTTTCTAGATGGATAGCAAACAAACTTCTGGTAATTTATTTGTTCTTTGTAGCTGCTGATTAATATACACATTATAAACAATACTTGCTGCTGGGTTAGATTGAAAAGTGCACAAAAGTAGAAATTAACAGCAAGGGGGAAATATAGCTTAGTCCCTCTATTATACACAATGACTGCTAATGTTATTACTTTGTGTGCCTCTATCCTGAGCAAACTGTGGAGCTAGATTTACCTTGCTTTAAATCTCAACTGGACCATTTAGTGGCTGTGAAATGGACAAGTTACCCAGTCTTCTCAGTGTCCCGGTTGCCTCATCTCTAGGATGGGGATACGTAATAGTTATGCCGATAGGGTTATGAGGATTAAACAAATTAATATATGTAAAGTTTTCAGAATAGTGCCTGCATATTGTTAACACCATCTGTTAGCTATTACTTTTCCATTCCTCTATTTCTTCCAACTCCTTCTTACAGTTATTAGATACTATGCACCAGGCATCCTGATAGAAACTAATATTTTTGGGTGTTCTTCCAGGGTTCTTTTTTTTTGCAGTTTCCTTCTGTCCTTTATTATGTGAAACTGTACTTGTTATTTTGTATCTTTAAATATTATATTTTAATGTTATTTATTCATTAGTGCAATTCTTTTAGTAATTGGTAAATATGATCACTTGTTACAATTTAGCCTGGTATAAGACAACACAATTTGTAGATATGGACTTTTATTAACATGCAAAATGAAAAGAAACATTAAAAAAAAGGCAAAAAAAAAGTGGTTTGCTTTTTAAAATAAAAAATATAACATGATGCATTTTGGAATCTAAATTTCTGATTTTCATTGGTAGATGCATTTAAATATTTTTTATCTCACCAAATACCACCTATGCATCTATGTACAGGGTATGGTGCTAAGTACTGGTGATGTAACAATCAATAAGGCACTTTCTTAAAGAAAAAAAAAATGAAGTCTGAGATTCTCAAAACGCAGAGGGAACACTGGGAAGAGCAACTAACTGACAAAGCTGAAATCTGAGCTGTAACTGAAGGATAAATAGGACTTTTCTGGTAAGGAGGGATGTGGGAAAGTATTCTGGGCAGAACGGTCAGGAATGAGCAATATTGCACGTTGGGAATTGTCCATAAAATATTACAGCATCATCCATAAAAAAGTGTGGAGTGTTCGGGGAGCAGGAGGCAGGATGAGAGATCAGAATGACAATGTTGCTTGGGCCTAGAAAAATTCAAGTGTATAACTGGTGCAGTAGAAATAAGTAGTAATAGTAAGAAAAAGTGCTGCTGTAGAAGGAAGGATTATAAAAGTAGAGATGGTTCATGTCCAGTGATGGGGACATGTGACAGAACTAAAACAAGTCAGGGGCAGTTGTGTGACTTTGGCCATCAGTGACCTTAGCCAAAAGCAGTTTGAAGCTGAGGAGTATGAATGGGAAGAAAACAAGCTGAGACCGTGACAAGACTCCTCTTCCAGTATTCTGGGCAGAACAGCCAGGAATGAGGAAGAGGAGTCAGATTGCTGGGGAAAGGCAGTAGCGAGCCAACTATGATCGTGAAGTATCTGCATGACGGAGCTTGGAGAATTTCTGCAGAGCAAGAAGTCTGATTGGTGGTTTATTAACATAGCATATGATATTTACTTCATCCACTGGTCTGAAATTAAGAATAAGACTTAGAATTAAGTTAGACTCTATTCCTATATATATTAATATATCTTCAGTCTCAGACTGGAACACAAACCTTTAATTTTAGTTTGAAGATGGGTGAGGACCATAACTTGGATTTGGTTCAAAGCTTTCATTTTGGTTTACCACAAAGCAGTAAGTAAGCTGGGTTAGGATATAAATGAAATAAGGATGCAGGTAGGGGAATTTAGTTGCCCAGTTCCTATCAATCACAAAAAATGTTGGTGGCCTCAGCACCAACATCGAATACCTGCTAAGATTCCATAGCAGTAATGGCATATTTCAGAGCCAAGTGGTCAAATGGCACATGGAGCTAAGAGCATGACAGAGTTGTCCTTTTTGATACTCTATATCTTTTAAATTGCCCTCAATAGAGAAAATGCTGCAAAGAATCATTGATTTTAAAAAGAGTAGAAAATAAGTTATTTTCTGTATTTTTCAAGGAATTGTATGTTTTTACTTTTAATTAACACTAAACTAAAATCAATTTTAGTATTTATAGCATGTTTTTAATCATCAGTATAAAAACATCTTCAGTTTTTTATGCTTATGGCCTCTTATTTTCAATATATTATCTACAAATCTATGTGTGTTTATATATTTACGATGTTAGCCATTATATTTGGTAACCTTGGTCTGACTAGCTGGAAGTGAGGTCCTAACTAACTGATGGTGATAGAGCAAAAAGCAGGGTTAAGCCCTTACAAAATGTTTGATTCACTTTTGCTAGTGAGTCTGAAAATGGTTTTGATCAGAAATCTGGAAATGACAACGATAACTGGAATTTCTGAGCATATCATAAACTTCATAAAAATTACCAGTGACAGAGAAAAAAGGCTTATATTACATTTAATAGTGTTAATTCTGAAGATGTTTCAAACTTCCACAAAGGCTAGTGAAGTGTTCAATGTAGAAACCAGTACAAATTTTGGTAAACTTGTTAAGAAACAAAATGCTCCAAGGAATGTTCTGAACATTATTTTCACCAGAAAAGTGAAGATAATTTTCATAGTTGTTTGAGGTGCTGTAATATGTCTACTGATACTCCCAGCTGTTTTACCAAACTAGCTGTCTGCTCTAAAATCCAAGGCAGGCTTGGGTTTTCAGAATGTGTATGCTCCTGTGTTCTACAACATTCTAAAGATGAACAATCTACCCCACTAAGACTATTGCTACAGCTTTTGTTAAACTCAGCATTATTTTCACAGAGTCTTTCATCTTCAGCTTCATAAATCTTTTTCTCAGCTGGAGATACATGACAAAGGTCCATGTCCTGAATGGAGTCCAATAAATCTACAACATGCGGCTGTGGGGTGATTGATTTCAGATGTTTGAGCACATACTCTTCACAATGGCCAACTGCATCCAGAAGGTTATTTATTTTACTGATCAAAGCCGAACTGTTATCATGAAGGTGACACCAGGAGAGCAAAGCACTGAATGAAAATATAAACAAGAGTTTAATAGGGAAAAAATTAAACAATCATAGGCTTTTAGGACTTTCTATGCTACCTGTTTCTTTTCTAGATAACACCATGCAAAGCGAATTAATAACAATAATGCAAGTCAAAATAAAGAAAGTAATAATGGCAAAATAGGATTAAAAAAATATATATCTTTCAACAGGAATTAAACAATTGGGCTTACCCATATAAACTGTTTCTATATCATAACCCCTCCTTAACAGATCTACATCCACTTTTCCTCATTTTAGATTTTCCCCTTATGACTGTGTAGCTTCTGTTGAAGAGGGATACAATGAGAGAGAGAGAGACCAGAAAAATTATTTTTTCCTTTAAAGACATCAAACAGCTTCTAAACTAGTGATTCTCAATCTTGGATGTACATTAGAATCAGGTGGGGAGCTCTTGAAACTATCAAGATCTAGGTCCTATCCCAGACCAATTAAACCAGAATCTCTAGGCTAGGGGTATTATTTTTTAAAGCTGCCCAGCTGATATCAAGGTGCAGCCAAGGTTGAAAACCATTGTTCTAATCATATACAGCAGTTGCTTGCCATCAAAACTGAAGATTAGGAAAATAAGTTTTTAGGCCACTTCACTTTCCCAACTTTGTTATAAGCAGACACTGTTTGCTGAGCTAACTAACAATTTTCTTGAAGAAGGTAAAAATCATCCTATTCCTAATAAATATTTTTCTTTACTTTTCTAGTACAGATAGTACTTTTGTCTTTGGATAGTTCAGATTGTTCAGATAATCATGACATAAAAAGATTGTGAAAAGTAATGATGTTTTAAAATGGAATCAATTGATGAAAAAGACTTAGCAATAAGCTTTCTAAGCTTGTAAAGGATTTAACCTGATGTAAAGATAAAGATGATCATTTTCCTATGGTAGTAGACTACATATTCTGATTCTTACCATTGAATTTTCTAAAACCTTAAACAATACATTTTTTGTTGTTTCAATAACTTATTTTCTACCCTTTTAAAAATCAATGATTCTTTGCAGCATTTTCTCTATTGAGGGCAATTTAAAAGATATAGAGTATCAAAAAGGACAACTCTGTCATGCTCTTAGCTCCATGTGCCATCTGACCACTGGCTCTAAAATATGGCATTACTGCTATGGGATCTTGGCAGGTATTCGATGTTCAGGATTAAAGTAAATGGGATAATTTTTCTCTCTATTACCAGCTATAATTTTCATCATGTACTTCTAGTATAGACTTCTGTCATACTGTGTTCTGCCACATGTGCAAGACTAAAAGCTTTATTCAAAACCTGAAGATCCTTTAAATGACGTCGAGATATAGACTGGTGATAGTTCAGGTAGTAAAAAATACACACCTTCTATCTTTTCTTTGCTATAAAGGACACCTGGCTCACATATTAAAGTAGATGAACTGATAATCTTGACTTTTTGAAGGCAATATTATTCTAATGCTTTGCAGCCCTCTTGTGGATTTAACACCAGGAAAAGCCCTTTCGTTTAAACACTTTGGTTTTCACATACTACTTTTATAAAAATCTCCCAGTAGTCCTGAGGTTAAAATGACTCCAGATTTAAGTTTTAACAATTACCTCAGTGTTCCTCTGAGTTGTCCATAGTTTATAATGACTTCTGCACCTTCTTTATAACCTTGATTGAAGCCTTGTTGAAGGGCAACTGCTTTGCCAGCCTGTAGTCCATCTCTATAGCCTTCCTAAAAATAAGTAATGAAGAATTGCAGCTGTAACGAACATCAAGTGAACCACTGTAGGTGTTTCTAGAAAGTCATAGAATCAATTTAGAAAATCAATGAAAACAAGCTTTTCCTGTGTTATTTAACATCATGGTTCTAAAACATATGGCGTAGCTACACAAAGTAGACTAGACTATACTTCTCATATAAATATATTATTGGTCTATCCCATTAACATCCTGTGTTAGCAGGGGCTTCACAGAAAGGATACATACAGAATTTCATGCCTGGCCCCTTTGCCAATGATTGGCTTGGTATGGTAGGTGAGGAAGCAAGGCAGTAAGAAGGGTTATCACAGGCCTTGGATAATTAGCTGAAGGAGGGAAAGAGGAAACTGGTTTAGCAAAAGGAAAATAAGAAATCCAGCTTTAGAAATTCTGCTTGATATCTACATTCAATTAAACTGCAAATTCACGGCGGGCAGGGCTTTTGGTCCTGCATCTCACCCCGCGCAAAAGATGCTCAAAAGATGCCCCAGCCTCACCGACGGCGTTTCTGAAATCGACAACACGGTCGTTGGGCTCAGCCATTATTTGACTGAAACATTAAACAGAAGCAGACTCAGGGCAGTTTAATGGCTGGCAATGGTAGTGAGTGCAAGTGGACCTCACCATTTGGTTCCAGGGCTCCACCTGGCAACTGGGGGTGTGGTATGAAGCTTAATCTCATGAAAAGTGAAACAAATCAGAGACGGGCAAATCGCACCTAACAAATAAAAACCCCCAACGTTAATGCTTTCTCACCTGGTCACCAGTATTCCAGTTAGGCTCCCCGTATAGCCCTCTGACAGCATCCTTACACCCACTGTTCCCATGTACATACACGGGTTAACATCACCCCGAACCGTAGGCTCCTCACCCATTCAAGCACCCCTGCGACCTGCACAAGTCCTCTGACAGCCATAGTTAGCACAGTGTCCACATCCCCCCACCGCGCCCCTGCGGCCCTCGGCAAACCCCGATCTCTTCCAAGTGTGCTCGGTTTCCTGCGGGCGGACCCTGCGCCTGCCCACGCCGCGGGCGCGCGGTGGTTCACACGCCTTCAGCAGCGGTTCTCAACCTATGGGTCGCGACCCCTTTGGCGGTGGAACGACCCTTTCACAGGGGTCGCCTAAGACCATCCTGCAAATCAGATATTTACATGACGATTCATAACAGTAGCAACATGACAGTGATGAAGTAGCAACGAAAATAATTTTATGGTTGGGTCACAACATGAGGAACTGTATTTAAAGGGCCAGGAGGTTGAGAACCACTGCGTCAGGAACCCCCTGGGTGACCCTGGCAGGATGCGGGCCGCCCTGGGCCGGGCCAGACCACTCCGGCCTCCCAGGTCCGGCCCAGATTCTT